CATGTGGAATAGGAGGGTGCCGCCTAAGGTACGTAATTTCATATAGAGAGCCTTTAATAACGTATTGCGAGTGAGAAGAAACCTAGTTAAGAAACATGTCAATGTGTCGGATGTGTGTCCAGGATGCATGGCGGAGGATGAGTCATTTTCCATTGCTTGGTGTGATGTGGATTTGCTAACACTACAAGAATTTATCTGGTCTGCAACGAAAATCTGCTACGGACACATATCTGTAGCAGATCTGCAACAAATCTGTGACGGAGTAATAATTTCTGAAAAAGGAACACTATCTGCGACGGAACTTTTGTTTTTGTCGCAGATCTGCTACGGAATAAAGTGAGGTAAACATTTCGTGTAATCTGCAACGGACTTATTTCCGTTGCAGATAATTAATTAAAATCGGGTTATCCTCTTTTAGATCTGTAGACGAAATCAGTTCACAGATCCAGACATCCAGACCCAACCATCTTCCGTCCACCCAACTTCGATCGACACATCTCCTCCGCGGCTTTCCTAGACCGTCGGCCGCCGTCGCACGGTTTGTTAACGTCGTGGCGCTCGTCCTCCTTGCCTCGCCGTCGACCGCGCAGCTTGTGTCTCCCTCCTCGCCTCGCCTTCGACAGCCAGTGTCTCCCTCCCTCCTCGCCGCCGCCAGTGTCTCCCTCTCTCCTCGCCGCCGCCGCCAGTGTCTCCACCCCTCGCCTCCGCCAGTGTCTCGAACGCCATCTTCCCCCACCTGACCTCCTCTTCCTCTCAAGGTATTTTAGTTTAATTTTATACAATTTATTATTATTGTAATTTTTTTGTGAAATTGAATTTGTTTGTGTGAAATTTAGTGCATTTTTTATGAAATTTAGTTGAAATTGTGTGAATATGAGTTTAAATTGATATGAAATTGGGTAAAAATTGCATTAGTTTTTTTGTGAAATTGATAGCACTTAAGCTGTAATTTTTGTTGAAATTGTGTTAGTTAATTTGACGTTTATTGAGAATTTAAGTAAAATTTAGTTGAATTTTGTGATAGATGTAGTTAAATGATTGTTGTTTGTGGTTTTATTAGAGAAGATACTTGAAATTGGTAACTCCTCCACAGCTTTTTCCCGTAGCAGAGTAAAGCTTTCGATTTTATGTTTTTTGTGAAAATGGTTCGCGGCGGTGAATAACTGCTGGGAAGTTGAGGAAGTTGTGTTAGTAGGATTTGGAGCTAGGCTTTGTAGATTCCACTGCATGTTTGATTGATTTGTATTGCGATGATGATGGCGGATGAGAGCGCTAAGCGTTGATTTGTATCCAGGACATGCTGAGCTACAGGTACTTTCTGTAATTTGCAAAACAATTTAGGTTCATGCTCATAATGTTGGTGTTTTTGTCTTAAAACTTCTAAAGGGTGATAATGTACTTGCTTTCTCGTGTAATTGAATTGTTTTTGTTGACGTTATTCTTGTTGTTGATGTTATTATTAATCGTCTTGTTATTATTGTTGTTACGTTGATGGTGTTGTTGTCGTATGACACTATTTTTGTTGTTGCGTTGATGGTGTTGTTGTCATATGACACTATTTTTGTTGTTGCGTTGATGGTGTTGTTGTTGTCATATGACACGGCTTTTGTTGTTGCGTTGATGGTGTTGTTGTTGCAATATGACACTACTCTTATGTTGTTGTTGATGTTGTTCAGTTGTTGTTCATGTTGTTGTTCATGTTGTTCTTGACGCTATTATTGTTACGTTGTTATTAACTTTCATATATTGCAGGCCCAATTCTTCGAACTGCGTGAGGAGGCTTGACAGAATGGGCTTAAAGGCTAGACAAAATGAGCTTGTAACTGACGATTCAGGAGGAGATAAGGAAGTTATATGGTGGTAACCTTCCTCTACGAGGCGATGATGATGGAACGGGAGGGGCAGGGCAGCCCGGGATTTGTTGACACCTTTGACATTTGACATTAACACTTTAATATTTAGTGTTTTTACAATATTATGAATTATGTTACACTTGCGCGTGAAGTTTGTATCAATCTAGTTTTGAATTATCTATTTCGTATTGTAATCTTACTTAGAATTATGTGTGTGAAAAATTGAATGTGTTTTGCCCGCCATTTAAATAGCTACTGCCTAAAAACAATAAAAATCTGTGTGTGTGATCAGGTGATCTGCGAGGGCAAAATCTGTCGCTGTTTTTGTTGCAGATCTGCAACGGCTATTTTCGTCGCTATGTCTGTCGCAAATCTGCCACGGATTTTCAATTCCGTCGCAGATTCTTGGGGTTGCAAAAAAAGACGAACCCGTTGCAGGTCCGTCGCAGATCTGCCACGGATTTTTAATTCCGTCGCAGATTTTAAATCTGCCACAACTTTTCTGCGACGGAACATTTTCGTTGCAGCTCCATCGCAGAAGTTAAATCTGCCACGGAATTTCAAATTCTGCAACGGAAATTGTCCGTGGCAGATCGGCAGTTTTCTTGTAGTGTAAGCCCTGCCTTCAACCGATTGAATGGGAACTCCTATGATGGGGGACCCTTTTGCTACGTGGTTGGATCAAACAAAGCAACTGAGGAGTTTCTAGCAAATGGGCAGATTGTGGATATTACTTTGGGAGTTACAGACACAAAGATATTAACTTGTATGGCATAATAAGAGCATGACGGCGGAGGGATATGTGTCAAAGGCGACACGCTGATATAATGATCGGTTTGAGGCAAATAAACCAAAGCTGGATGAGGATGGTGAGATAGCCAACCGACGTGAGGAGCCCTGCTACCAAATAGTTTAAAGTGCAATGATGATGCAAGATTTAATTCGCCCACCAATATTGACCGGGTGGGGATGGTGGTGCATGATGCGCAAGGAAGATTCGTGTGTGGTTCATACCAAGGTTTGGGTCAGTTGGAGTGCGCTTTGCTAGAGGAGGCTATGAGAATTCAAGAAGCTCCAAAGTTGCTCAAGACACATTATGCACACCAACAACTTATGGTAGAGATGGACAATAAAACCGTGTGGCTCTGCAGGACAGAGACCAAGAAGGTTGTTATTTTTGGGACTTATTCATGATTTTATCGTCAAAGTATGAGTTTTGTTCTATCAAGTGGTCTTTCGTTAAAAGATCAACAAATCAAGCCACCCATCTATTGGCTATGGTAACTAATTCTATGTGTGATAAATCAGGCCGCCCATCTGTTGCTCTCGAGATTATATTTGTGATGTTGTTAGCAATGATGCATAAGTAATACAAAGCTCTTTTAAAAAAACATCAAACACTTAGGCTACTACTCTTTTTGTACTATTTTGGTTGTAAAGAATTATTACCTCATACTAGGACTGGGTCGGAAAAACCGAAAACCGAAAACCGAACCGAAATCGATCGAAACGAGCTAGAAAAAAAACCGAACCGAAAAAACCGAAACCGAATGTAAAAAAACCGAACTGAACCGTTATTGTTTGGTTTTGTTTTGGTTTTTACTTTGAAAAACGAACCGAACCGAATAAACCGAACTTATTTATATGCTTCTTTTTTATGTATATGAGTATATGTGATATGTATAAAAATCATATAAACAAACATGCAAATATATTATTAGTTGATTAAAGTTTTTTAGTTAACTATTAATTAAATATTTTAACCATGTTATAAACTTTAAAAAGTCTAAGATATAAATACCAATAACTAATCCTAATATAAAATTATATAACATTAAAAATTAATATGAGTAGTTAACATATTTACATAAAAAAAACTTTGATGTTATAATGTAAATAAAAGTATTATATAAAAAAACATAAATTCTCTATAGTTGATTTTACATACGATATCTTTAGGACTATTTGGAATCTCTTAGATGTTTGTTAGGCACTTGACACATATTTTGTATGTAAAATTAAACCGAATAGAACACTAACCTTCCGTTCGGCATTTTTTGTGTGTAAAAATCAAGCAAAAAAACCAAACCCAAACTTACATATTGTTATTGTTTCATCGAGTTAGTATTTAGACAATTTTTAATGCTTATAAGTATTTACTTTTATAAACCGAAAAAACCGAAAAAAACCAAAATAAAAACCGCATAAAACCGAACTGAATAACCAACGGTTTACATATTTTTTATGCAAAACCAAACCGAACCGAACCGCCAACTTACCTTCCGTTTTGTCTTTGGTTTTGGGTAAAAACCGAACCGCCAAAACCGAACCCACCCCTACCTCATACGCATGTAGCGTGTCCCCAACCTGTGTGTGTGGAAGGAATTTAATGAGAATGCTGCAGAGTAAGAGAAATAAGAATTCATATGATTTATTAAATTAAAGAAATAGGTTATTGAATTTTTAAACTAAAAAAATTTGGGGAAAAAGAAAAATTATAGTGGCATTTTTTATAAATAAATTGAACTTTGCTATCACGGGAAAAATCAATTATTGCACATAAATATGCATCATTATAGAACAAAAATACACTTTTCGCATTTCTCTTAGTAAGGATTTCAGAAAGGATTAGTCTAACTAATTTACATACGAAGTATCATTTAACATAAGGTCCTTGCACCTATCGAGTATATATCCCACTTTCTTTGTAGAATAAACCTAGGGGTACACTAAAATGAGGTAACCTCTTTGTACACTAGGCAAACATGGACAAACACAAATACTTAGTGTCTGTGGATCATAGACACTAAGTGTCTGTATTTGTCTGTGTTTGCCTGATGTACAAATAAGATATCCCATTTTAGTGTACCTTTAGCATGCTTCTTCTTTGTAAGTGAAAGATTAAAATCTGATTTAAATTTTTTAATACGGTATATTGTTTGGACTTTGAAATAGTGGCGTCCAGATCTGGGCTATTCATTCGTCTATGGGCTCTAAATATGAGGGCCCAATGTGGTGAGTGTATTTTAATTAGGCTATGCTCTCTTTTCAAAGCCCAAATAATATTTGATTTTGATTAAAAAAAAGAATGAGAAGCTGTGGTTTTCTTCATCTTCCGGCAAAGAGCGAGACTTTGTGAGCTGCGCCTGCGATTAAGCAATAGCTAACCGGACTCCGGTAAGGCAACGGCGATTGAGAGATAGCGGGCGTCCGAGAAAGTGACGGCTGTGGGTTGTGGCCATTGACGATTGAAGTAGCGAACTAGGGAACACTTTTCACCAAGATCTTCAGAATTCCATTTTTCCAGGTACACTTTTTAAATCTCAATTTTCATCTTTCTTCATCCAATTATCGTCATGATTCAACATTTCAATTTATACTTCCCAGATTTGATGTTTGGGTTTTTAGAATGAATGGATGTAGAAATTCATATAAACAAATTAGGGTTATTGGCTTATTGTAGTGTCTTGGTATTTAAATTTCAAGATAGGGTTAAAATCTTATTTCTTAAAAGTTAAAATAATTTGAGGATTGTATTATTGCACCACCAAGTTAAAATCTTAAACATTTTCAACTTTGAAGTGTCCATTTTTTCAAGGTATGGTTAAAATATTAAATTTTAGAGTAATCACTGAAAATATTAGAGTATTGGTTTATGTCAGCAACAGTTTAAAAATAATGATGTAATAAATATTAAATATGCACAAGGTGTTAAGAAAATATTTATCTGGATATGAGAAACAGTGATTGAAAAGATGACTGATAAATTGACACAATCACAAAAGGTGCTCTTGATAAATTATTTATAAAAGAAGGTAACAGTGATAAAGGAGATGCCGAGATGGTGAAAATTTGATTATCCATAGTTGTGATAATCTTAATGTAGAAGATGAGTGCGATGATGTTAAAGAAAATGCGGCTCACATGTTTGATGATAAGCCGAAAGAATTTGATTTGCTTGACACAAATGATTCAAGAAATTTGCATTATTTTTCAATTGAACCCAAAACACTTAGAGGTTTAAATTTTGGTTGATGATTTTGCATCTAAGTGTGCAAGCAAATATCTATGTTGAATTTCAGTGATTCACATTGTGTGTTGATAAGAGGGATGCTGGAGAACCATTACTTCTTTTGTGTGTCGAGCTGAGAAATCCTTCTGTGTTTGAGCTGGGAGATCCTTCTAGTCGGAGTTCTAGACCTGTCTAGAAGGGATCGGATCTGCTTCGGGGGTTGAACTCATCGGCCGTCAGATGAAAGAGGGCCTTGTATGTTTGGAAAATCGGCTGGGAGAACGATGAAATGGGCGACATTGCTTAAAGACTTTAAGGAAAAGGTTGGCCTCTCTCAGCCTCCTTCCACTGTCTCCTCGCCTACTCATGCTGCCACTTCGTCTCTTCCGGATTGCTATCCCATTTCTGGCAGCCACCATCTTGATCTTGCCTCTTCTCCTTCGAGGTACAGTACTTCAATGTTTCCCCAATTGACTTGTGCTATGTTTTACAGCATTAACTCGTATTGATTTTCCTAGTGCTTGAGTGAAAAAATATAACACCTATTTATATAACTTCACCAAAATGTATTCTTCCTCACTTCTGCTATGTTTTTAAATATAGCCATGGTTAGATCGAACAGCTTATCTAAATTTGCCAGTTCTGACTACATATGTAGGATAAGTTTTATTTCCGTGACGCTTCACTTTTACTGAACTTTTTCCATGCCTACATTTCAAGTTCAAAAATTCTGCACACCGAGTTCAATATGGAAAAAAGGTGCATATGAGCAAAACAAAAATCTAAGATCAATATATGCAGATTTCCTTCTGAATGGGATTTACACAGAAATAAGATACTGTTCATTGTCAAAATTAAAAAGTGGTAACATTTGTGTGAGGACTTGCAAAGAGAAATCAGCGACGAAGAGAAATTTTCCTGATTTTCATGTAAGCATATTCATTAAAATACCATGCTTACCTAACTGACTAATCAAAGATGTAACCTTTTCATTATTAAAATATTGCGGTTGCTTGGAAATTGTGGCAGCTAACAAGTAAGATTTCTTCAAAGTTATAGATAGCTCTGCAGAATGGTAGAAGAAGTCAATTTAGTGGACCAACATTTTCCAACTTCATCATGAAGTTGCATATCACGTGTCTGCATTTCAGCACTTTTGTCGAGTTGTTTTTTTAAAAAGTGCATTCCTTTCTTTGTGATGAAATTTACTCGCAGCATTACACAGGAGACTTATGAATTAATCTTTCTTTATAATTTGTATTTCTTCCTTCCTCCACTGCAACTGATCTATCTTGTACTTGGGTGTATTGTATTCGTATTTTTGTTGGATCTCTTATTCTCTTAATAGCAGAGACAAACATGAATTGGAATTGGACTTCAAAAGATATTGGGAAGAGTTCCGCTCATCAAGTTTGGAAAAGGTCTATCTAAGTTTGTGTAAAGAAAAAGCTCAACTTTCTCAATTTTATATTGGAAAAAGTTACCATGTATCTGTCTTTACATCCTTTTGTAGGAGAAAGAAAAGGCCCTGAATATGACCATTGATGTTTTTTGTAGACTAGTAAGGCAACACGCAAATGTAGCTCAATTAGTTACCATGTAAGAGAGTACTCTCTCTCTCTCTCTCTCTCTCTCTCTTCTATCTCTCTGCATTTTTTTGTCTTCTTAATGTTTTATATTGTGTTGTGTCAAGGAAGCCAATAGTCACGTCTGCCAACTTTGTTTTTTTACTTCTTTTCTATTTTAATCTCACGATGAAGATAAGTTGACCAACTTTGAACACTTGTTTTATAGGTTAGTTGAGACACACATATTCTCTTTTGTTGTTGGAAGAGCATTTGTAACGGATATTGAGAAGTTGAAACTTAGCAGCAAAACAAGATCTTTGGAAGTAGAGAGAGTCTTGGGTTTTTTCTCTGAAATCACTAAGGTTCTTTGATGTGTGTGTGCGTGTGTGTTGAAAGTTCTTGGTTCCTCTTTTTATCTCTCATATATCGTGTATTTTTTCATGAACATGGCTTTTGTGATAATAGTCATTAAACTACAGGATGGGATCAGCCCTGGTGCAAATTTATTATATGCAGTTGAAGTCCTTGTTTCTGGGGTATATACTCTTGTCTCTTGCCCTTTCCTTATATCCATTTGTTAAAAATGCACTTTTGACTAGAGAGGATCTTAATTTTACTTTGAGAAGGGTTGCTTTGGTTCACCTAGCAAGCACACAATTAGTGTCATGATGGTGATGATGATGTCGACAGTATTAGAATTTCATCTCATTATTACTTTGCAAGAAGGTTACAACACGAAGGATATCCGGCGTAATTTTTTGCCAATGAATTCTTGCATAAACTTATAACACTGACTATAATCATTTGAAAACTAGTTGACACTAGAAATTTCATTCCACCCACCCCAACATATTGGGTTTGAGGAGATGATGATGGTGGTTGCAACTTGCAAGCACACAATGGGACCACATCTAGGTTTTGTTATGAATTGATTATTGTAGCATGTGCATATCTCAAATATTAATGGATGGTCAATGTTGTACAGCCTATTGATAAACAATCTCTTCTTGATTCCGGGATCTTGTGCTGCCTCATTCATACTCTCAATTCTCTTCTTGGGCCTGACGGAAGTTGCCAAAAACTATCTACATGCCATGGTACAGAGCAAGTTCTAACAGAGAACTGCCCCGGTGGTGATGCTGCATCACGTCGTCGGCTTGAGGTAGCTTCCGTCTTGCTTACTCCTATTTACTGCATCTATATTTTAGATTAAATTGTACTCCGTATCACGTTTTTAGTTCATAATATAATTTGAAGTTCTTAAGTTGTGGTATGTGTGTATTTTATTATTTGTTTATGTATTGCATGATGTTTTTGGTGTTAGAAACAAACTGTAGAACTGGGTTTTCTGGGGTTAATAATGTAATATGGGTTCATGACTTTGATCCAGCATAATATATTCAATACACCTGATCAATGGTATTAGAAAGCAGAGTGAAGAACAATTTTTTGACACGTAATATGCAGTTGGAATTATAATGAGCTAGGGAACTGTATTTTTTTCTTTGTTGTCACCATCTTTTTGACTTACGAGTTACGAGTCGCTGACTAGTCAGTCTAGTCATTGGCAGGGTGTTGACCATTTCTCCTACTAGCGATCGTCTTCGTTCTGTAGTCCGATTGTCGAATATGCGTCAATCTGGACGTCGCTACTTGTACCTAACCCAAATTTTGCACAACTTTTTAACAAAAAAACCCTACCTTCTCCTTCAGAATTAAATTTCTGCAACCCTACATTCAACGCGATGCCTGCCACCAACTGATCACATCATTGACATCATCCCAGATTGGTCGTCTTTGTAGACCAGTCATTGGTCTCATCTGGTGTGTTTTTCATTTTTTTTACTTTGTTTATGTTTTCCATCATCTCTGATGGAGCCAAAAATTCACCATTTTTTGGCTTTCGGGTGTGATGGAATAAATCAAAATGGATCTTTAAACTGTCTGCGCTTCTTTAATTAATGAAGTAGCAGTTAGTCAAGCAATACAACTTTCGACGTTGAGCCGGGAGTCTCTTTGGAAACAGCCTCTCTACTTTCGAGTAGGGGTAAGGTCTGCGTACACACACCCTCCCTAGACCCTACTCTTGTGGGATTTAACTGGGTTGTTGTTGTTTACTTTGTTTATGATTTGTTTTATATTTACTTCTTGTTATGGAGTATTTGTTTCATTTTTAATTTTTGTTTCCGTCTTGTTCCTGACTGTATTGTCATATATGTTTAAATTTTATTTAAGTTATATTTTAATGTTTTTTTTCTCTTCTTTTTGGGTTCCCTACTTAGTTTTAACACTAACTATTTAGTCTTTCAAGTCTTTGTTGTTTTTAGTCTTTCAAGTCTGATTTTTTGGGGTGGTATACAAATTACTTTTGTGAAAAAATCTTTTATCTATACTGTATTCCTTAGTTTTTTTATTTTTCTTCATTGAAACTTAGATTTTTAAGGTAATGATATTTCATCTTTTAAAAATGCGGTTATCTTTAGTGATATATGTAAATTTTTTTTGCAATAATGTATTGCTTATTATTACTTGTCGACTAATTTTTGATTAGTCGACTGTCTTATTGACTAGTCTCTTCTTCAATGACTCAACTCGACTTGTCGACGCGACAACCATGTTTTTTGTTCATTTGTGTCTTCTAGAAGACTGGAGCTTGATGTGAGTGTTGAGGTTGAGATTGGTATGGGGTTTTGGTTCAATGGTGGTGGTAGATAAGTTTGAACTCAGCTCAACATACAACTGGTCAGCTGCACAGCTGAAGATAGAAATGGTTTGGGGTACATAATGGATATCTGATGATTTGAAGAGGACCCATATCAAAATAGGGCCATTGATCCTTTTTTCATTTTGGGGTTGGGGTTGGCGACAAATAATTTTGTCGGAACTCGGAACTTCAAAGATTAGAGTTCAGAAATTACATCAATTAAAGCAAATATTAATGTGTTTAGCATTTCCATAAAACATAAATGGTTTCTTGAACTTGGATTATGAAGTGTATGCTTGCTTTGCCTATGGTAGGTAGAGGGTAGTGTTGTACATATAATGAAGGCATTGTCTAGCCATCCTTCAGCTGCACAAAGTTTAATAGAGGACAACTCTCTTCAGTCACTCTTTCAAACAGTTGCTATGGGCTCTTTAGTCGCCTTTTCTCAATATAAAGAAGGCCTTGTGCGATTGCACACCATTCAGCTCCACAGACATGCAATGCAGGTATTTAGCTTACTCTTTAGCTGAATGAAACTTTTGATTTGGAAATATTTTTATATTTGATTCTTGATCCAGATACTTGGTCTTCTCTTGGCCAATGACAATGGAAGCACTGCCAAGTACATTCGCAAGCATCATCTGGTATGTCCTGCGTCCTGCCTGATGCATCCTAGTTTGTCTTTAGTCATTTAACTAATTTTCATCCTCTATTCCTTTTTCATAATCTTCTCTCCCATTAAGATTGAGCAAGGATGTTAAGTTCGCAATATAATGAACATAATTTGCATCGATTGCTGCACCCTAAACTGCAGATAATGCCATTGTGAAATAAATTTGTTTAGAATTTCAGTAGCTTATTAAGTCATGACAGTACTAGTTGTTCACTACGCTTAAAATTTATGCCTTTATATGCTTTTTGGAGTATCAGTGCCCGAATAAAAGCTGTTTTCAATTTTGTGTTCCTGTCACTTGTCAGACAAGTACAAATTTCAGCTGTAAATTTTCTGGAGTTTATAACATAATAACGCCTTACTTGGTAGAAATGAGAGGAGAGGAAGACTTTGCATTTTAAAAATAATACACGGCACTTAAACTAGCTCCTTGTGAACTGTTGTGACTTGTGATCCTAGCCTCACCTGGCTTCTCTATTTAACCAATTAATTAGATCCTTATCCTATTATCCTTGCTTTGTACTGTTTCCAAGCAATCAGCTTCATAGTCTAACTGAATATTTACTGTTTAGGCTGTAAGAGTTTGTTCACATGGTAAAAGTCATAGTTTATGAGATGAATACTCTCTGCATAATTATTTAATAAAACAGTATGTGCCAAAGCATCAACACCATGCTCCTCATTTTTGTGAATGACTTCTTCAAGTGAAAATTTTGTTGAAAATCTTCAGTAAACTTTTATGCAGAACTTATTGAGTCATAATCTCTTGACTTCAATGTCTGTGTTTGATGGCAATTCTCATGATGTAGTAGATTTTCATTTTTCAAGTACCCATTTTGTCATGCTGATGGTTAGGTCTTTATATGGAACAGATAAAAGTACTTTTAATGGCTGTGAAGGATTTTAATCCTGAATGTGGAGATTCGGCCTACACAATGGGTATAGTGGACTTGCTTCTGGAGTGTGTTGGATTGTCATATAGACCAGGTAAATGGTTCTGTATCATTCTTTCATTGTCATTATCATCATCATCATCATTATCGTTACCATCGCCATATTCTTCTTCTTCTCTCACTTCATAACTAAAATAGTTCTTTCTCCTCCATTCACATGGATCACAACTTAAATTCAGGGACTTGTTACTGGATATCACTGTATTAACTAAATTATGCTAACAATGAGCAGAACTTGCAATATTACATAATTATTCTTTGTAATGGTTGGTGCTGAATTCCAAACAATTCTGACTTCCAGATGCCGGTGGTATCAGGCTTAGGGAGGACATACACAATGCACATGGTTATCAATTCCTGGTTCAGTTTGCTTTAGTTCTTTCCAAGGATCAAAATTGGCAAACTTCGCATTTGGAATCTCTTCCATGCCAAGATCCTGCTTCAGGGGATGACCTTGGAGCTAATGCGGTTGAGAGCAATGCAATGATGAAAAAGGAAGCAGAAACTTCACCAAATAATCTATCCCCTGTACTCTCTAGACTACTCGATGCTCTTGTTTGTCTTGCTCAAACCGGTCCTTTAAAAACCTCAAGAAGTGCTTATGCTAAGCCCAGTGGGCACAACAGAAGTCGGACTTCGTCATCTGACCGAATAAGTGATGAGTGGGACAAGGACAATGACAAAGTAAAAGACCTTGAAGCTGTCCAAATGTTGCAGGACATTTTTCTGAAAGCTGACAGTAGAGCACTGCAAGCGGAAGTGCTTAACAGGATGTTTAGAATATTTTCGAGCCATATTGAAAATTACAAGTTGTGCCAGCAGTTGCGGACTGTGCCCCTACTTATCCTCAACATGGATGGATTTCCTCCAACTCTGCAAGAGATCATTTTGAAAATTCTTGAATATGCAGTGACTGTGGTGAATTGCATACCCGAACAGGAGTTGCTTGCACTTTGTTGTCTGCTGCAACAACCAATAACATCTGACTTGAAGCATACAATTTTATCTTTCTTTGTAAAACTTCTATCATTTGATCAACAGTACAAGAAAGTACTGAGAGAAGTTGGTGTCTTGGAGGTTCTACTAGACGATCTTAAGCAGCACAATTTACTATCTGGTCCACAACTGCACGAAGGTGAATTTAATCAGCTGGATAAAAAATCAAGCCCAAGCGGCTTCAAGAAACATCTTGACAGCAAGGATGCAATCCTTTCTTCACCCAAATTGTTGGAATCTGGTTCTGGAAAATTCCCTATTTTTGAAGTGGAAAGCACAATAGCAATTGCGTGGGATTGTATGGTCTCTTTACTAAAGAAAGCAGAAGCAAATCAGGCAACATTTCGATCATCTAATGGTGTGACGACTGTACTTCCTTTCTTGGTATTTGACATCCATCGCCCAGGTGTCCTCCGTGCATTGTCATGCTTAATTATTGAAGATGCTTCACAGGTTTGCTTCCTCTAAGCTGACATTTTGACTTCTAATTTGACTTGGTCTTGGCTCAAATGTATTGGCTTTACTGCTGTGGTATACTGGTATTAATTGCACTTGTCTTATACTCCATAGATAGTGAAGTCTTGAAAGTATTAGCATGCTTGCTCCTCCAGTGACTAATGAAGATTAGTAAGACACATTGAGGGTGAAAAAACAGCCAGTATACCATTTTTACCTTTTTTTTTCCAAATATACAACATACCCAGTAAGCCTTTCTAGTGGGATCTAAGTGATGCATGTAAAACCTTACCCCTACTTAGAAAATGTAGAGAGGCCAGGGTCATGAAAAGGGTAGCACATTCCAACAAGTACCCATAAACACATGAGAGGGAGGGAGGGAACTACGGCCTACCACCTTGTTCTGGATATTGCCTTCTAAATATGTATCTTCTCGGTCCCACCTCAACATTCTCATCTCACATTTCCTGAACAAGTTTAATTTTCACCGACTAACACTTGGCTCCACACAACATAGATTTGCTTAAAAATTGTCCTTACAACATCCCCATCAACTCACCACCGCCTCAAGTGATAGATCCAAGATACCTAATATTTTCCCTTTTGGGATGAGTTACGAATTGATCTTCACCACCACCCGACTAAGGAGGTATATCATTGAATTTTCAGCCCATGACTCCATGTATTTGGTCTTACTCTATGACTCCAGTTCATCATCAAGTCGTCATCTCCCTCATGTGTTTCGTCTATTAAATATCTTATGCAAATAATTGTGTTGTTCTCTGGGCTCATTTGTAGCAGAGGCTTCTGTGGTTAACTAATTGAGTTTTTTCAGTCTTCAGGCAACACTTAAATAATTATCTTTTCCACTTGTGATAGAGTATGAGAGCTGCTTCTGTTTAATAGCCAAAACACCATTACAACCTATTAGCCTACTAATGTGTTAGAATGATAGACCAACGCTAGAGGGGGGGTGAATAGCGTTTGATCAAGAAATCACAGGAATTAAAAATGAATAAACGAGAAGGAAAGAGAAGAGTAAGTGGCACACCGAATTTACCCTGGTTCACCACAACTTGTGGCTAATCCAGCCAGGGCTCTCTGAGAGAGCTCGATGTGATGATAGAGCAATTCGAATTGCCACGAATTGTTTGGGCATGTTGAACTCTCAAGCTCAGTGTGCTTGGAGTTGCTTGGAAGCTTCCTTTGTTGGGAAGGAAGCTTGTTGTTCTCTTTATAAAAGTCTTGTCAAGTGTCTAAGAACACTAAAAACACTCAAGAACAATACTCTCTTTTAGAGTGGATAATGAGTAACTAAGAACGCTCAAGAACACAACACAAGCTTCACAAAAATGGCTCTAAAAAGCTATGAATAAAGGATGAATGATTTGCAATGAAAGAGTAGGAGTTGTGAAGTAATGTAATATGTAAAACAGACCCAAACACCCCATTTTATAGTAGAAAAATAGGCTCCAACGGACCAAAATATTTAAGGGGTGATTGACACAATTTGTGGGATTTGATTAAATTTGGATCTGCTGAAATTCACCCAGATAGCGCTGTCCTAGGCTAGACATCGCTGTTCTAGGCTTGGGTTTTGAAAATTAGGAAGCAACGGTCATGCCAACAGCGATGTCCAATACCTCTACATCGCTGTTTTGGCATTTGACTTCCAAACAAGGAAAGTTTTAGCTTTAAATTCCTTCCAACAGTCAGGTCCCTACATCGATGTTCATTTCTTGAACATCGCTGTTTAGGTCTGACTTTGAAGGTGGAAAGTTTGGCCTGACAGCGCTGTTGCAAGGTCAACATCGCTGTCCAAAAACTTTCTGCCAATGCAATTTATTTTTGGCTTAGGTTGGACAGCGATGTAGGGAAGGCTACATCGCTGTTCCAGATGTTTCTGGAAACCCAACCTTGGCTTCAATAGCGATGTCTAACCACCAACATCGCTGTTGGAAGACTTAACGCCAAACCATGGTTTTCAGCTACCCAAGTCAGACAGCGCTGTTGGTTGCACCAACATCGTTGTTGGGCTGGTTTAGCCAGACCCATGGTTGGTTTAGTTAGCCGTTAGCCGATGTCAAAAAGCTAAGTTCTCCAAAGTAAAAACCAAGTATTGAAAACGTTTGTATAATGCATTTTGCTAAGTAATCAAGTAAAACATCTTAAAAACCATGTCATTTAATTGAAAACCACGGCTAGCCATGTTTACGCCGTTTCGCATGGTTTTCACAAAACAACCAAAAACGGAAGGTGGTTTTTGAAGCGTTTTTGTTGGAGAACTATTTAAATGCGCCTAGAAGTAAGAACCAACCATTAAAGGTTGAAAACCACTTGGTTGGTTTGGACACCAAAAAAAAAACCCACGCCGAAAACCGAAACCCGAACGCCGGTTCCTGAAGACCGAACGCCGGATGGCTTGGTTTTTGGTTTGGGCAAACTCCAAGTGTTTTTAGGCATGTTTAAAACTTACGAAAAACATTTTTGAATTTGCAAAAAGTATTTTAATGAAATGAGCCTAGAGAGCCAAGTTTTGAAAGTTTGTGCCGGTCTTGATCACATTAAGACCGACTCAATACAATTCTACGTCTTCGTTCTTGATCCTTGTTTCTTGGTTCTCAAATCATCATGCCATGTTCCTTCGCCTTGGTTTTGCTCACTTTAGCCTTGTTATTGTCACGGCGGTTTGGCATTATCAAAACCTGTCATAAAACGAACACGGTTTAGTACGACGTAGGCGTAAACCCGTGTTCCAACATAATGGATTCCAATACAGCTGAATCGGTGTCATCGTTTGTACCTTGTTCTTTTGAAAATTTTTAAAACTAATGAAGTTACATTTTTTTTTAATAGACTTGGAGATTATTGAAGGGCCTGTGTGAAATTTATAATATATTAGTTTTCCCTGATAAACATGCTGCTTCTAATTTTAAATTCTTAAACTTAAGTCCAATTGTTCTTGGATTCATTTGGAAGGGTAGTTTTTTTTTTTATGCTTGTTGGTCTTGTCACAAGGGTTGACCACGTGCCCTTGCTTTATAGGAGCCGTCTGAAATTACTCTTTATTTTTTATAATTGGAGGTTTATGAAGGGCCTTTATGGAATTTTTAATATAAGTTTTATTCCTGATAACCATTTTGCTTCTTATTTTTAATTCTTAAATTGAAGTCCCATTGTTGTTAGATTAATTTGGAAGGGTAGCTTTTTTTTTAAATGCTTGTTTGTCTAGTCACAAGGGTTGGACATGTTCCCTTGCTCTATAGGAGCTGGGCTTCTTCTACTTGACCCTAGGTCGGTGACTTAATTTACTTAAATTACTCGTAGCATATCTAGCATGAATTCCTTCGAGTAATTTCAGCTAGTTTCCTGTAAAGTGTGGGCTATACAAAACATAATTTCTGTATGGACATGGTGCTTTTTTCTACGAATACCTTTAAGTGCCAAACATGCTATAGTTTGAATTTTTGTTTTGTGATTTAGTCACATCCAGAGGAGTTGGGAGCAATGGTTGACATTTTAAAAAGTGGAATTGTTACAAGTGCTCTAGGATCCCAGTACAGAATTCAAGATGATGCTAAATGTGACATATTTGGAGCTTTGTGGCGTATTCTTGGGGTTAATAGTTCAGCTCAAAGGATTTTCGGTGAAGCAACTGGTTTCTCTTTGCTATTGACCACCCTCCACAGTTTCCAAACTGGGGAAGAACAAGCAAACAAGTCTCCTTCAACCAGACATATCAAGGTGTTCACATACTTATTACGTGTAATGACAGCAGCAGTTAGTGACAACACTGTTAACAGGACAAAATTGCATGCTGTTTTATTATCCCATACTTTCTATGATCTTCTCTTGGAGTCTGGTTTAATATGCGTAGATTATGAAAGGCAAGTAATACAGCTGTTATTGGAACTTGCCCTTGAATTTGTGCTTCCACCATTTCTGATATCCGAAGATGGCACATTTCCATGCACCAATGAAAATGAATCGGCTTTGCTTATTGTTTCATCTTCTGGCTCTTTTGTTCCTGATCATGAGCGAGTGTATAATGCTGGGGCTGTTAGAGTGCTTTTACGCAACCTATTGATGCTTACTCCAAAGTTACAGTTAGATGTATTGAGCATCCTTGACAAACTTGCCCGTGCAAGCTATTTCAACCAAGAAAATTTAACATCTGTAGGTGCGAATCCAATATTTTTATCTTTTAGATTTTCTAATAAACCAAAAAAATGAGTATAGTGCTTGATGATATGTTGTTTGCAGGTTGTGTGGAACTTCTTCTTGAGATGATTTATCCCTTCCTGTCTGGCTCATCACAAATACTATCACATGCTCTAAAAATCATAGAAGTTTTAGGGGCATATAGGTAATTATGTCTATCTAGCATAGAACTCACTGTTGATGTCAACATGTATATTTTATGTTTCTAGTTAATTCCTGGTAAGATGAACATCGTGTTTCCTGGTTACAGGTTATCAACATCTGAACTTCGAGTTCTTGTTAGATATATTCTTCAAACAAGACTTGCTTCTTCTGGCCGCTTTCTCATTGATATGATGGAACAATTGATTCTCAGGGAGGACGTTGCTTCAGATGATGTTTCTCTGGCACCTTTTATAGAGATGGACATGACCAAGATAGGACATGCCTCCATTCAAGTTCCACTGGGCGAAAGATCTTGGCCACCTGCTGCTGGATATTCTTTTGTATGCTGGTTTCAGTTCCAAAATTTTTTAAAAACACAGACAAGAGAGACCGAAGCATTTAGAACTGGATGTTATAAGAAGCAGGCTATAGCCAGTGGCCAGCATCGCAAGCCACATGTTTTGCGGATATTTTCTGTGGGAGAAGTAGAGAATTCTAATGCTTTCTATGCAGAAATTTGTCTTCATGAAGATGGAATTCTTACACTTGCCACCAGCAGCTCTTCATCCTTGTCATTTTCCGGGTCAGAAATGGAGGAAGGCAGGTGGCATCACCTAGCTATTGTGCATAGCAAACCGAATGCTTTGGCTGGCCTCTTCCAGTCGAGCATTGCGTATGTATACCTTAACGGGAAACTAAGACACACTGGGAGACTGGGATACTCCCCATCTCCACCGGGAAAGTCTCTGCAGGTAATCATTGGAACACCTGTTACATGTGCAAGGGTTAGTGACTTGTCCTGGAAACTTAGGTCCTGCTATCTATTTGAAGAGGTTCTTTCCCCTGGATCTATCTGTTTCATGTACGTCCTTGGTAGAGGATATAGGGGGCTATTCCAGGACACTGATTTGTTGCAATTTGTTCCTAATCAAGCCTGTGGTGGTGGCAGTATGGCCATTTTAGATTCTTTGGAGACTGACATGCCTTTGACGTCCACAACACAGAAGATTGACAATGCTGGCAAGCAAAGGAGTTCCAATGCTGATCGAAGTGGTATTGTTTGGGATTTTGAAAAATTAGGAATCCTTTCGCTCCAGCTTTCTGGCAAAAAGCTCATATTTTCCTTCGAAGGAACAAGCACAGAAGTTCAACGAGCTTCTGGAACTCTGTCTGCGCTCAATCTAGTTGATCCTATGTCGGCTTCTGCATCTCCTATTGGTGGTGAGCAATTATTATATTCATTTACAACAANNNNGAGTTAATATTATATGTTTTTTCTTGATATTTCAAAGGAATCCCCCGTTTTGGACGACTAATCGGTGATGTCCATATATGTAAACGGTGCGTCATTGGAGAGACAATTCGCCCAATTGGTGGCATTGCTGTTGTTCTAGCTCTTGTTGAAGCTGCTGAGACTAGGGACATGCTACATATGGCTTTGATGCTACTTGCATGTACACTTAAACAAAATCCTCAGAATGCTAGAGATATGCAGCAATTTAGAGGATACCATCTGCTTGCTCTATTCGTGCACAGAAGGATGTCATTGTTTGACATGCAGTCACTTGAGATATTTTTCCAAATTGCTGCTTGTGAGGCATCTTTCTCTGAACCCAAAAAGTTGGGTACTACTCAGAAAATTATACCAACTACACCAACCATTAGTGAAGGCGACACGGATGACCTAAACCTATCAAAATTTAGGGAAGAATTTTCTTCAGTTGGATCTCAAGGAGATGCAGACGATTTTTCTGCACAAAAGGATTCATTCAGTCACATTTCAGAGCTTGACAACACTGACATGCCTACAGAAACTTCTAATTGCGTCGTCCTTTCAGATGCTGACATGGTTGAGCATGTCTTGTTGGATTGGACTGTATGGGTAACAGCCTCAATCCCAATACAAATTGCTCTACTGGGCTTTCTTGAAAACTTGGTTTCGATGCATTGGTACAGGAATCACAACCTGACAATTCTCCGTAAAATTAACCTTGTTCAACACTTGCTCGTGACTTTGCAAAGAGGTGATGTTGAAGTTCCTGTGTTAGAGAAGTTTGTTGTATTATTAGGTGTGATTTTAGAAGACGGGTTTCTTCCATCTGAATTGGAACAAGTTGTTAGGTTTGTGATAATGACATTTGACCCCCCAGAGCTTTTGTCACGCAGTCAAATCAACCGAGAGTCCATGGGAAAGCACATTATTGTCAGAAACATGTTGCTTGAGATGCTCATTGATCTGCAGGTGACCATTAAATCAGAAGAGTTGCTTGAGCAGTGGCATAAAATTGTTTCCTCAAAACTTATAACTTACTTTCTTGATGAAGCTGTTCATCCTACAAGCATGAGATGGGTAATGACTCTTCTTGGGGTCTGTCTTGTATCTTCTCCTACCTTTGCACTTAAGTTTCGCTCAAGTGGGGGGTATCAAGGTTTGACAAGGGTGCTTCCTAGCTTTTACGATTCCCCTGATATATATTATATACTATTCTGTCTGATATTTGACAAGCCAGTATATCCAAGACTTCCTGAAGTTCGCATGCTGGACTTTCATGCGCTTATGCCTAGTGATGGAAATTATAGAGAGCTGAAATATACAGAGTTGTTGGAGTCAGTGGTTGCCATGGCAAAGGCGACTTTCGATAGGCTGTGTATGCAATCTATGCTAGCTCATCAAACAGGCAATCTTTCCCAAATTAGTGCTGGCATTGTGGCAGAGCTTGCAGATGAATATACAGACTGGTCAGGGGAGCTTCAAGGCGAAGCTCTTGTGCACAAGACTTATGCCGCACGCTTAATGGGTGGAGAGGCTTCAGCCCCTGCTGCTGCTACATCAGTTCTGAGATTCATGGTTGATTTAGCAAAAATGTGCCCTCTGTTCTCTGCAGTCTCTCGGCGTTCTGAGTTTCTTGAAGCTTGTATTGATTTATACTTTTCTTGTGTGAGGTATGTCATAAAATGGCAGTCTTTATAATTGTTGAAAAAACTAATAATCTATGTTTGACGTAGATCTTGTTTTCTATCCTGACTCAAGCTGAATATTGTATAGGGCTGCTCATGCTGTTAAAATGGCAAAACAACTCTCTGTTACTGCTGGAGAAAAGGCACTTGATGATGGTGATGAAACTTGTAGCTCCCACAATACATTTTCAAGCGCACCTCATGAACAGGAACTATCAGGTAAGACCTCTCTAAGTTTGGGAAGCTTTCCACCGGGACAAGTGAGCTCCAGTTCGGAAGACATGTCTATTTTGCCAAAGAATGGTACTGGAGATGCAGGAGAGGTCACTATTTCTTCATACCAGAAGGATTTGAAAAAAGATGCGAAGGACGATGTACATAATAGTGCTACTCTGAATGGTGAAGTGGCTGATCTTTCCTCCACTATTAGCAGCAACGAGTTCAACTTCCGTGATATGAAGATCACTCTAGATCCTATTGCACAATCTGAGTCACAGAGTTCAGCATCCTTTACAAACATTGGATCTCCTGTTTTTTCTGAGAAATCCTTTTCTAAGACCCCATTAGCAACTTATTCATCGCCAGTAGTTGCATTGACATCTTGGTTGGGTGGTGGTAATCACAACAATGATAATAAAGGCCAAATTGTTTCTACTCCGTCCATGCTGTCCTATGCATCCTTTAGTGATATTGATTCATCGGCGGACACAAAATCAGGCTCTCAAGTATTCACTATTAGTTCTAAACTAATGCTAGAAGTGGATGATTCGGGCTATGGTGGTGGCCCATGTTCTGCTGGAGCCACTGCTGTTTTAGACTTCATGGCAGAAGTTTTATCTGGGTTGTTGACTGACCAAATGAAAGCTGTGCCTACCATTGAGAGCATGCTGGAGAACATTCCATTACATATTGACGTCGAATCTGTTTTGACCTTCCAAGGATTGGTGCTTATTAGATTGATGAACTTCTTTGAAAGGCGTCTCTTGCGTGATGATGAGGAAAGTGAGAAAAAGCTAGATAAGAGCCGTTGGTCTATGAATCTCGATGCATTGTGCTGGATGATAGCAGACAGAGCATATATGGGTGCTTTCCCGCAGCCTTCTAGTGTTCTGAAGACTCTGGAGTTCTTGTTGTCTATGTTGCAGTTGGCGAACAAAGATGGCCGTGTTGAAGAGGCCACACCAACTGGAAAGGGGCTCTTATCTATTGGAAGAGGAAACAGGCAACTTGATGCTTATATACATGCAATTTTAAAAAATACAAACCGGATGATTACTTTCTGCTTCCTTCCTTCATTCTTGATAAACATAGGAGAAGACACACTACTTTCAGGTTTAAGCTTGCATACTGAGTGCAAGAAGAGAGTTCTTATTATGTACTCATCACCAGAAGATAGCGGAGTTGATATTTCCACAGTGTTGCAGCTGCTAGTTGCAAACAGGCAGATAATATTCTGTCCTAGCAATATTGACACTGATATAAATTCCTGTCTTTGCATAAACCTAATTTCTCTTCTCCGCGATCATAGGCGGAATGTACAAAGCATGGCTGTTGATATTTTGAAATATCTTTTGGTGCACCGCCGGGCTGCACTTGAAGACTTGCTTGCCTCTAAACCGAATCATAGATCGGCTCATGATGTTCTTCGTGGTGGTTTTGACAAGCTTTTGACTGGAAACTTATCTACATTTTTTGAGTGGCTTCATTCTTCTGAGCAAGAGGTTAATAGAGTTCTGGAACAGTCAGCTGCCTTGATGTGGGCTCAGTATATCACAGGGTCAACAAAGTTTCCTGGAGTGAGGATTAAAGCAATTGATAGTCGTCGTAAGAAAGAGATTGGAAGAAAATTGAAGGACACCTCAAAACTAGATGCTAAGCACTGGGACCAGATTAATGAGCGAAGAATTGCCCTTGAATTAGTTCGTGATGCAATGGCTACTGAACTAAGAGTTATTCGCCAGGATAAGTATGGGTGGGTAATGCATGCTGAAAGTGAGTGGCAAAGTCATCTCCAACAACTTGTACATGAGCGAGGAATATTTCCAGTGAGCAAATTTTTCTCCGGTGAAGAACCCGAGTGGCAACTTTGCCCCATCGAAGGTCCATATAGGAAGCGCAAGAAGCTTGAGCGCCGCAAATTGAAAGTTGAGACTATTCAGAATGTCCTGAATGGACAATTTGAGTTAGGGGAGCTAGAATTGTCGAAGGAGAAGACTGAGGCTGACCTGAACACTTCTGATACTGAATCAGACTACTTCTTCAATCTTCTAACTGATAACCCTCAACAGGATACCTTTGGTTGTGATCTTTATGATGAATCAGTCTTCAAAGAGACCGACGAGTTCAAGGATGCAGCCTCGAGTAAAGCTGGATGGAATGACCATGATAGCAGTGTCAATGAAGCTAGTCTGGGCTCTGCTGCAGAGTTTGGCATAAAATCCAGTGCTGCTTCCGTCCAGAAAGCTGAGAGCATACATGGAAGATCTGATCTTGGATCTCCAAGGCAATCAATGTCTATAAGAACTGATGATGCTAGGGTGTCCGGGGATAAATCCGAGAAGGAATTAAATGATAATGGTGAATATTTGATCAGACCATACTTGAAACCTCTTGAGAAGATAAGGTACAAATATAACTGTGAAAGAGTGGTGGGCCTTGACAAGCATGATGGCATTTTTCTGATTGGGGAACTCTCTCTGTATGTCATTGAGAACTTTTATATTGATGAATCTGGTTGTATATGTGAAAAAGAAAGTGAAGATGATCTTTCAGTCATTGATCAAGCTTTGGGTGTTAAGAAAGATTTCTCTTGTAGTATGGATTCACATTCTAAATCAAGTTCGTGGGCTGTGACAGCAAGGACTTATGTTGGGGGTAGGGCATGGGCATACAATGGTGGTGCCTGGGGGAAAGAAAACGTTAGCAGTAATGGCAATGTGCCACACCCTTGGCGCATGTGGAAGCTTGATAATGTCCATGAAATTTTGAAGCGTGATTACCAACTTCGCCCTGTTGCAGTTGAGATTTTTAGCATGGATGGTTGCAATGACCTTCTGGTTTTCCACAAAAGAGAAAGAGAGGAAGTTTTCAAAAATATGGTAGCCATGAATCTCCCAAGATCTAGCATGTACGCTATTCACTTCCTTATTCCAGTTTTTTGCTCTCCCCTTTTAATACTTAGCTGATAATCATGTGCACCTGTGTGATTTACGAATGCAGTGTAGAAGCCATCAGATAGATCAATTTCTACCTCATTAGCAGATTACAAAAAATTATGATTTTATTTCAATATTTTCCTTGATGCGGGCACTTTCCCTTTTAGGGTGCGCCTAATGAATTTGCTGCTTACTTAACATACGAGGAATTTTAGTCCTGAATTTTATGAATTTATACTTAACCTGACTTATAAAATTGTTGGGTCGTGTTTGTCCTTTGGTGGATATGCTCTCCAGTACAAGATGCTTTACTATTAGTATGTACGTGGTTCTCTACTACATAAATCTTCCAGTCTTAATCAGGGATCAAATCTAATAGTGGTGGATAGTAGTTAATCTCCATAATTCCTGCTACACATCGACTTTATCAGTCTTAATCCCCATAATTCTCTACTACATAAATCTTCCAGTCTTAATCAGGGATCAAATCTAATAGTGGTGGATAGTAGTTAATCCCCATAATTCCTGCTACACTTTCGAACCTGCTCCCAATATTTCAAGGTCCATCCATAATAGCTGTGCTTTGGTCATGCAGGTTGGACACAACAATTTCAGGTTCAATGAAGCAGGAAAGCAATGAAGGGAGTCGCCTCTTTAAGGTTATGGCTAAATCGTTCTCAAAGAGGTGGCAGAATGGGGAAATAAGCAATTTCCAGTACCTCATGCACCTCAACACTCTCGCAGGTCGTGGATACAGTGACCTTACCCAGTATCCGGTGTTCCCTTGGGTTCTTGCTGATTATGAGAGTGAGAGTCTTGACTTGACGAATCCCAAAACTTTCCGGAAGCTTGCCCAACCAATGGGTTGTCAAACAGAAGAAGGGGAAGAAGAGTTCAAAAGAAGGTAGGTCAAGGCACTTTTGCGTATTTCTCCGTATTCATGACAGAGATTCTAATATGTTCTTTATTTGCCCGTTGTCAGATATGAGAGCTGGGATGATCCCGAGGTTCCCAAGTTTCATTATGGTTCTCATTATTCTAGTGCTGGAATTGTTCTTTTCTACCTCATCCGACTACCACCTTTTAGTGCTGAGAATCAAAAACTCCAAGGTGGACAGTTTGATCATGCTGACCGCCTTTTTAACAGTATAAAGGATACTTGGTTAAGTGCTGCTGGGAAAGGCAACACATCTGATGTTAAGGAACTGATTCCAGAATTCTTCTATTTGCCGGAATTTCTGGAGAACAGGTTCAATCTTGAGTTGGGCGAGAAACAGTCGGGGGAAAAGGTAAGTCTTAGCTATCCAAATCCTGGCATTCGACTCGTCTTTTTGGAAAACATTATCTACTTCTTTGGAACCTTGTTAACCTCGTACTTGTGTGTTTTCAGGTTGGTGATGTTGTTTTACCTCCATGGGCCAAAGGCAGTGCTAGAGAGTTCATCAAGAAGCACAGGGAAGCTCTGGAGTCTGATTATGTTTCTGAAAACTTGCACCACTGGATTGACCTAATCTTTGGGTGTAAACAGAGGGGGAAGGTAAGGGGTACTTGAATACTGTAGTTGATATCTAACTTCTCTCACCATATTCATTATAATTATAAGCTATTAAAAAAGCGGAAAAAGAAAGACCATAAGGATCACATCTAACACTGTACTTCTATTTCTTCCTTCCAAACACTACCTTATACAGGCATATCTAATCCCCTGACTTGTTGTTCGGCAGGCTGCTGAAGAAGCTGTAAATGTTTTCTATCATTACACTTATGAAGGCAGTGTAGATATCGACTCAGTAACCGATCCAGCAATGAAAGCTTCAATTCTTGCACAAATCAATCACTTTGGCCAGACGCCAAAACAACTGTTCCTCAAACCCCATGTGAAAAGGCGAGCCGACCGAAAACTCCCCCCACACCCGCTAAAGCATTCTTTGCATCTTGTCCCACATGAGATCCGTAAGACCGCATCTTCCATTTCTCAGATTGTCACTGTCAATGACAAAATCCTTGTGGCCGGCAAAAACACCTTCTTGAAACCCAGGACGTATGCCAAGTACGTCTCATGGGGATTCCCTGACCGCAGCTTGAGGTTCATGAGCTATGACCAAGACAGGCTTCTTTCCACGCATGAAAACCTCCACGGCGGCTACCAGATACAGTGTGTTGGGGCCAGCCTTGACGGCCGGCTTCTGGCCACTGGAGGTGACGATGGGTTGGTTTGCATTTGGAGAGTGTGCAAAGACGGCGGGCCCCGTGCCCTTAGACGACTTCATCTTGAGAAGGCCCTTTGTGCGCACACGAGCAGAATCACGTGCCTTCACGTTAGCCAGCCTTACATGATGATAGTGAGTGGGTCTGATGATTGTACCGTCATAGTGTGGGATCTTAGCTCCATGGCTTTCGTCAAGCAGCTTCCTGAGTTTCCCTCCCCTGTTTCTGCAATTTTTGTGAACGACTTAACCGGGGAAATCGCAACCGCCGCCGGAACTCTGCTGGCCGTATGGAGCATCAACGGGAACTGCCTTGCTGTCGTCAACGCCTCACAACTTCCCTCTGACTCTATTCTCTCCCTTTCCGGCAGTATGAGTTCTGACTGGAATGAAACTAACTGGTATGTCTCCGGCCACCAGAGCGGGGCAATAAAGGTGTGGAAAATGGTACACTGCTCAAGCAAGGAGTGTAGTCAGGGCAGTGGTGGGAACCCAGGGGCGGCGGCGGCGGGGTTGAAGCTCGCCGGTGACGAAAAATCTCAGCCGGAGTACATATTAATACTCCACAAGGTGTTGAAGTGCCATAAGCATGCCGTCACAGCTCTCCACCTCACCCATGATCTGAAACAGTTGCTGAGTGGGGATTCCGCCGGGCACCTCCACTCCTGGACACTGCCGGAAGAGAGGCTGAAAGCCGTCGCCAACCAGGGGTAATTTTGGGATCTCCCTGCACCTGAGTTCTCTCTTCTTTTTTGTTTTTGTTGACTTTATTATGGCGGGGGGAAGTGGTCAAAGAGTGTGAGGACTTGAGGCTGATGATTGTTGTGCATATAACATATATTTATATATATATAGTAAAACAACAGAAGGCGCCCCATGTGTATAGTAATGAGGTTTGTATAGGCTCTTCTTTTTTTTGTCTTTCTATTTGGTTAGTGTTTCCCAGGTTTAGGGCATGTTGTATAAGTGGCTCAGTCCTTCGGACTCTCAATTTAATTTGTCAAAGTGTCATTAATTGTTGATTGATTCTGGGAAATGCTAATTTGAACTGCTCTTTTTGCCCAACAGTTTTTTTTATATATAAAGAAAATATACATTTATAGAATACCGTTTACTAGCTTGAGGACATCGAGCGAGCTACGGGTTTGATCTACTGAATGAATGGCTAATTTAAGTTTGTTCTTGATCTTCGACGTGTTCTTCTGTGAGTCGGATACCCGTTTGTAGGGTATCCATCCACATCGAACACATCCATTCTTGATCTTCGACGCGTTCCTCTATGGGATGGATACCCGTTTATATAGGGTATCCATCCGCATGATATTGGCGTGGATTCTCGTTCCAAATTTGTACAATAGTTGTGTTTTGGTATTATTTGTTATGGGCCAAGCATCACAAATTTTATTTCTGAAATATTCCAAAAGGCTTCGTACCAATTAATGCACTATTACGAAATATGCTTTACATAATGGATAAAATTGATATTTTACAACAAAATTGTTTTGTTGTATATGCAGTCGATGGGAAATGTTCGAACTTACGAAATGAATAAATATTCACCATCTAAAAAAGTATGACACCCCATCCTTGAGGGTCCTTCAGTACCAGCCGGACAATTAACTGAGAGAAGGTAAATCGAATTATAATCTTAAGTTGTATTGAGCTATAATTTCAGTCAGTTGGTGGTACTACAGTCAGTTTCTCTTCTATTTTCTCTCCTGAGATGAGTTTGCACCCAGGCCAACTCAAATATGAGATCAAATGTTGAATGTTCATTTTGATAAATATAGCATATCTTAGTTCTAATTATATATTGCCCTAAATTACACTTCCTTTGTCCCATTTTAAATTATGTTTGATTGAAGTTATTTTCAAATGAATATATATACGAAAACTAGAGTAGAATTAAAAAATAAAATTTATATATTTTGAAAACTACGGAGTACATCAAAAGTTTTACTGCACACAAACAAGAGCTAATATCACTATTTTTTTTTATCAAATTAGTAACGAAAATGTGTAAAGAAAGTGATTATAGGTTAATAATGTGAATAAAAAATATGTAGTAACATAAATTGAGACAGAAGATTAATAATATATGCCGGATGTGGGGTACTTGTGTTATGGTCTATGGAGCATAAAAAGCTGATTAAGTGATTAAAGTTTATTTAGGAAAGATATATTTTGTACAATATTTTTCATAAAAAACTTTTTTAAGACAAATAAAAGGAAACTTGGGAAAAGAAGTACGGTGTAGTATTTTCTCCGTTAAGACTGAAGAGCTTTTAACCTTTTTTTAACATAGGGAAAGAAACTTTATACTGTGATTACCATTAAAAAAAATTAAAGTAATGCTAAATTCACCATATTTAATGATAAACGAATAATTTTAACTTTTACCTCTTTCCTTTTTAAATAAAACTTTAAAGGTAAACTTATCTTTTAAGAAATTACCTTAAATAAGAGAAAACATAATTCTTATCTCTAAGATAGTTCCATATTTCTATCTGAAATAAGAATTTAATTTGCATCGTAATATTGTAGTACAGTATATTGACATTTCACTAGAGCTCTTGATATTATATATTGACATTATGGACATTGTAATTTTTATTTTAAGAATAAAAAATGGAACTCATATTTTGATAGTTTCTCCATATTTACTTCTATTTTAATATTTTCTTTTGCTTTTTAAATATAAATGGGATGGATATAGACAATTGAAACTTAGCTAATAGAAAATGTAGTGTTTCAAAATATAAATTTGGATTCGATTTCTGAAAACAATTAAAATAATCTTATACTCCATCCGTTCTCATAGAGCGGAAGCATGTTCAAAAACGGATAGAGTTGGCCTAGGGTAATCTAACGTGTTGAAGGTTCATTTTCATTTTGATAATCTCACATGTTGAAGGTTCATTTTGATAAATATTGCCCTAAATTACACTTCATCCCATTTTAAGTTATGTTTGATTGAAGTTATTTTCAAATGAAAATATATGAAAATTAGAGTGAAATTCAAAAATAAAATTTATATATTTTAAAATTTATATATATATATATATATATATATATATATATATATATATATATATATATATATATATATATATATATATAGACACACACGGAGTATATTACGGAGTAAATGCATTTGTTGAGATACTAGGGGTAATTATTAGGATTATGCTATGTGTACCCCAAGGTTTGTACCCCGCAGTTTTGCACCAACACTTTGTGTTGGTGTAAAACTAATTTTTGTTAAACGCACCAACATTTGTGTCCATGCGAATTTTTATTAATGCACCAACACTTGT